AATAGGAAATTAGTAGGGTTTTTAGGTTTAATTTTGGTAGCCTAATTGGAGGTTGAGTTGGGTTATAGGTGTGCTCAATCCATGCATAGTCACACACACTCACACGTGCGTTGACCTCTCTCCCTCTCCCTTTCGATTTTTCTTCCATTTACGTACGAATTGTATGGTCAAACACCAACCACCCTCAAAACATCACAGATCGAGGTATATTAAGTTGTATTTGAACTTGCAAGCTCAGGAGTCGAACCATACCCTTAGTTGACGTGAGGACCTGTGGAACTCGAGATACCCGAGCTCCGGCAAGGGGTACAATTTGCTCCGTGATGATCGTGAGTGTTTCATGGAGTTTTAAGGCTCTATGAGGTCCTAAAACTATTTCAAGAAACTTGTAGAAGGATTTTGGAAGGTTTTGGACGTCGGAACACTTGAGTTCTTCGAGTTGCAGGGGTGGCCGGACTATTGAGACTTTTTCCGGCCAGTTTCCGTTGGTTTTAGGACTCCAAAGTGGTAAGATCATGTTCTCCTAGTTGAGAACTTCATTTTGGTACAAATTTCATGAATTATGGTGTTGAAATGAGTAAGATATTGAAGTTTAAAGTTTTTTCCAGAATCCTGCGATAGCAGCGATGGCCGGCACCGGACTCCGGCGAACCAAGGAAGCAAGAGGAGATTATTCCGTCAAAGTTGACGGAATATGCTAACGGCGTCAGGTATATTTAATGGTATATGTTGATTTTTAATGGAATATTCCCTAACGCCGTTAGGGTTTCCATCCAGTGTGCTAGGCATGTGCCTGCGCGTGGCCGCGGGTGTGGGCGTGCCTTGGCCGGCACGTGAGGGCATGTGGGACGTCGGAAGTTTTTCCAAAAATATGGGGATGTTCGTCGGGTTGAGTAGATCACGATGGTATATTCAAATACCCCAATTGAGCAACGTATGAGAAGTTACTACCTAATTTTGGTTATGTGTTTAAAATAACGTTTAAATAGTTGTTTTGTATATAGGTGAGACTTATCCTGAGGAAGAGCGCAGTCAAGCAAGACTCGAGGGCTACAACCCTTACACATATCAGTGAGTGAGCTTTTGGTTTTCAATATATATACACTTGATATTTTTCCCAGAAAACTTATTTAAATGGTTTTAATGTTAAAATGCCATGTCAAATGCTCTTTATGTTTGTTTATGAATTAGTATGATTATATATATTGTTGTTTGACGTTGCAGACGCTCAGGTAAGCGTCAGGTGAGTATATATTGATGATAGTGATGGTAATGAGTATAATTGTGTTGAGATGTAATTAGAGTTTATTATTCTGCACCTTGGTGTTAGTGCTCTGCCTGAGGTCAGGGCCTAGCCTTCACGTGATCGTTCACCTCCCCATACGCTCACCTTGGATCCAAGGCAGGTGCCAGCCTGTTGTACATACCACATTAGGTGGTTCCGACTCGTAGGTGACTTACGATACTTCGCACAACCTTCACGTGATCGTAGCACTTGAGCATATTTATTTACACCTAGCCTGTCGTACAGACCATTTTAGGTGGTTCCTACTTGTGTGCAGAAAACTAGTTGATGAGCTATAGATCCAGCCGTACAGGTCACGTTAGGTGACTCCAGCTGGCATGCCATTTCCTATTGATTTATCTCATCTGGTTTATTTATTCTTTGCTGAGATATTTGACATGGAATATTTGTGGAATTGTTATTTCGAATATGATTTTTGAGATATAGATATGCCTACTATTTTTTGGGAATTATACAGGTTTTATGGCGAGTGGTTATTTATTTTTGACAATGACCGGTTTTGAAAAACTTTGTTTTTGCCTACTCACACTTTCTGTTTTGCGCCCCTCCAGGTTCTAGTTAGGAATGCTTGTTGGTGGCTGACGAGGAAGCATCGGCGGTTCTGCGGTTTTGACAGATTATACTAATGTAGGACCACCTTTGGTATTGTATAATTAGTATTCATCCTGCCGACCTGCACTTAGGCTTCTTATGCTCTGGTTGTGTGTAATCACACTTATTCTCGTCACTTGCACTTTATCTTATCTAGTACTTTTAGTTAGCTTGGTTTTTATTTATTCGCATTTCTTTTTATCAATGTCATATCCGCACTGTGCACATGGCTACGTCACCCTCACTTGACGGCCAAAATGCCTCGATCTAGGTCAGGGTGTGTCATTACATGCCTCTTAAGATGTTTTGAACGTGTTTAAAATAGAGAAAATAATATTTAATAAACAACTGATTGAATCACATTATTGCTAGCCTATTGTGAGGCTAGCATCATCCCCCTCCTCCTTAGTGTCGATAATATCGTTTGTTAAAAAAAACAATCATTTGACAACTAATTTAATCACATTAATAACCACGTGCGAATGACATTTTTTATAACCGGCATTATACGCCTCTTAAGATATTTTGAACGTGTTTAAAATAGAGAAATTGAATCACATTATTGCTAGCCTATTGTGAGGTACTAATTAAAACAAAAAAACAAAAAACAAAAAACAAACCACAAAAAAATTAATTATTAAAAAAATACTATTAAAATGACGAAAATGACCCTGCCTTATTTGATGCATTATTTTGGGATGTTTTTGAAGTTTTTTGTCTTGGGGGCATTTTTGTCCAAATATTTTTGTTGAAGCTTGGTGACACCAAAATCAGTATTCACCTTTTCTATTGACTTTATATATAGATTTTGAACCAAACTATGTCAATTGTTTACATTTTATTTATATTACACCCTACTAAGGAGAAAAGGAAAGGATATTCAACTGCAATCAAACGTATGTAGTCTCAGCAATCCATGTGATAGAACTTGAGAAAGTAGCACAAGTCCACATCAAATGAATGCAAGGCAATAACTGTTACCAAGTGAATTTGAAGCTAATCTAATGGAGCAAAATGCGTGCCATGAACAAGACAATGCTATCACCACATTAAGAAGTGAGGAGGAGATCGACAACGAATTGAATGGACTAATTGAAGACGAAGAAAAGATCGAAAACTCAAACGAATTGAATGAACTAATTGAAGACGAAGAAAAGATCGAAAACTCAAAGATGGAGGAATCTTTGCTTGGGCCAACTAGTCAAACTACCTTCACCAACCGGTTACTCCCTACTGAAATTCTAGTGTTGAAGCAAATTCATCTCTTTGAATCCATTGATCCTAAGGCTCTAGATTCATTTACTCTAAATGCTTCCAAAGATCCACTTGTAGTTCACTTACCGAATTATGGAAGAGTTTGGAATCGAACCAAAAATTGAGGATATGTTTGGTCAACTTAATTCCACTCCAATAGCCAAGATATGGTGGAAGAGGCAACGTAAAAAGGTGAAAAAGAGAAAGAAGTCTCAAGCCTTGAGATTTCAGAAAATACAAAAATATGCAATGTCTCATTGTCATGCATAGAGTGGAAGACAAGGAACACGAAGAAGATGCATGGAGTGGTTCCTCATTCAATGATCCACCATCTTCGACTTAATCTCGGCAAGTCAGGCTGAGAAATTTAAGTCATGTGACTTAACATGTGATATACTTTAAAGAGTAATACCGTCAATTTCTCAAGGTTGAGTTTCTTGGCTAGTTTTTGGAAAAATCGAGAAATGTAAAGGTTTTGGCCCTTTTTGAGTGAACTATTTGTTTTAGTGGAGCTTACGGGACTAGGAGTTTACATATGAATGCAGTTTTAAATTTGAAATCCATGGATGACCAACTTGAACTTAAATTTTTCGTAGTACTCTCTTCAAACATACTCGTCAAAAACTATTTTTACACACATTTTCACTTTCTACAAACTCCTTATCTAGTCACTGAATTGAACAAATTAAAATATAATCAAATACCAAAATTAAGTGAGAATGCAGAAGGTGTAAAATGATTGGTAGAAATCACTCCATATTAGTTACCGAAGATTTCAACACATTATTTTTCACCACAAGCACAATCCATACTTATTTGTGATCTTTACATTAAAAAGTTACAGAATATCCATGAATAAAAAAAAAGGTGTGCAACTTAAAAAAATGAGTGTGTAGAAAGAACAATGCTTGATTATTCAAGAATAAGTAGAAACACTTACTCAAAATTCTTCGTGATCGGAATAGTTCATATTATAAAGATCATTTTTGCAAATATTTGAATTAAAACTAAAGTCGTTTAGTTAATCAACTGTAGCAAATAGATCGATAGTTCGTAATGATTCTTACCATTTGTGTCCATCTATTTTTATATTGTTCAATAACTAAACAACGTTGTTTTAATTGAAATTTTTGCAGAGATAGTCTGTATAGAATGATTAATAATATGAAAGGTTATGATTATATATACACACAAAGTTCTACGAATTGGAAACAATCTTGAGTGAGAAATCATACTTATCTTTTGGGTAGCCAAGTATTGTTTGTGTAGAAATCATTTCTATTACAAAAATGTTACTTCTACCAAAATTTTCATATCACATTTTGTACTATTTCTTTAACAGAGATGAGACTCACAGATATTGGTGAGTTCTACATCTCTTAGAGAGATGATACAAATATAGTATAAAAGATGTGGTAAGTGTAGCATTACTCTGACAAATTTTATGACTTTGGTCAGATTCCAAAATTAAAAGTATTCTAAAAGCTAAACTTCCAAGCCATTTTAGTACTACGATTTAGTGATTTTCTCATCACTTGTAAGTGAGAGGTTTTAGATTTAATTATCTCAAAAGGCGAATTTGAACTATATTATTGCTAGCTTATTGTGAGGTTAAACTTAACCCTTAACGTCGTTTGTTGAAAAAAAAAAGGCTAAACTTTCAATAGCGGTTGTATCCCAGTAAAGGGTAAAGCTAAAAGAATACCCTTCCAAGCGCGGTTGATCAAAAGGACAAATTATATAAAAACTAAAAATTATCAAAAAACGCGTGGCAAGTCAGCAGACTTGTTTGGGAAGTGCAGGACTTGATTGGTTGGGATCAAATACTACTGGAGTATTCAGAAGTGAGTTATAAACTACTTGCAATCTCACCTTCTTCTCAGTTCAAACTTCACATTCACAAAAACACAGAGAGAGAATAAACATATGGGAACATTGGGAAGCAACAGAAAAACAAGAGGTGGAGGGGCATCAGACCCAGTAGGGTTCAGATTCCACCCCACTCCGGAGGAACTGGTCGATCATTACTTGAAGCTCAAGAAACAGGACAAGGATTTCAAATGTGATCACATCGCTGAATTCGATGTCTGCAACTTCGACCCTTGGGATTTGGCTGGTAATTATTAAGTTTGTCTCACTCTTTCTTCACTGTTTATTTCTCATTATTCATTAACAATCCATTGTTATGAAAAATTTCCCAAAAAATGTAGTGTTTTCTATTTAGTACTTTGTTTTTGAAGAACTGAATTTGGTTGGCATCAATTTCTTGTTTTGAATTTATTTCGTGTTGAATTTCTCACTAGCAATCATGTATAAGTTCCCCAAGGGAGAATTGCTCTGATAGTACTTGGTTTGTCAAGACTTCAATTGAGTTGGCCTCAATTCTTGGTTCGGTCCTTTTTTTTTGGGAACTTTAACGAAAAGCACCCGGTACTGTTCACTTTAACGAAAAACCACATTTTTACACTAAAAAGTCAATCCTGGTACTATTCACTTTACCCTTTATTTTGTCCTTTTCATTAAAACTCAAAGTTTTCAAGCCCTTTTCATTAGTTTTCCTTTTTTTTTTTGCATTATAATTTGCAGCTCGCATTCCATCCGACGATATGGTGTGGTACTTCTTCAGCCCAAAGGATTACAAGTACATCAACAGCACCCGGTCCAACCGAACTACACCAGGAGGCCACTGGAAAATCACAGGCAAGGAGCGTGCGATCAAGGATCGGCATTCCAAAGCTGTCATTGGGAAGAAGAGGACCTTGACATTCTACCGACGTTGTCAGCCTAAACCCATAAAAACCGACTGGGTCATGCACGAGTTCTATCTCATTGATAGTGAAGCCATCTCTAATCCTAAGCTGCATCAGGTTACTCTCTTTTTCAGTTGCAGAACTTGCTATTTTGTTCTTTGTTTATTATCTTTGGATTATGCAGCATCTTGACCAAAAAAAAAAGATTATGCGGCATCAAAATTTTGTGTGTCGGATTGCTGTTTCTGTGTTTAACATACATGAATTAATAGTTTTGAAGTGTGATAATGGAATTTGATCTATAATTCATAATATTGTTATCCAACTTATGCAGAAGGATTTTGTTCTGTGTTGCATGAAGAAAAATTTCGATATGGAGGATACCTCAATCGGTGAAGTTGAACTTGGCAGCTACAGTGTGTCTAATGCTGAAGATCATGCTGCAGCTGTTGTGACTCCAGAGGTGAGAATGAGAACCGTCTCGTCTTTGAAATTTTTTGTTATGGATGTCGATTCATTGAAACTTAATGCATCTCTCGTTCATGCTCTTCAGTCACAGGATTACAGTTCCTCTACATACCTATCATCAGGATACATAGAGTTGGGAGATATTCCACAAGGCAATGCCAACATTGATGATTGCAATGCAATGCAATCACCATTTGGATATAATAATTATTCTTATCCCGATAAGAATGATATTTCAACCTGTGATGAAGGTGAACCTCCTAGCTTCACCATGTTTGATTTCGAAAATGAAGTTCCAGATCATATGTCTCAAGAGGTGAGAATAAACATTCTTATTTGAATATTTCTAGTATGAACTTTAATAAAACAAAAAGTTTATCAAAACTTAGACCTTCTCGTTTGTGATTTTTAATCCAGTTATGTCTTTAGCCACAAGAAGACATGGAAGAAGATATTCAAACTTAACTACTTACTTGTTCATGATTCTTAATCTAGGTATGTCCTCCACGAGAAGAAAATCTGGAATTGTTCTTTTATCCACCTCAGCCGGAGGACTACACACTGGAGCCACTAATGAACATGACAGTGGGAGATGTTTTGCATGACAATAACTATATTGCATACAATGAGTTTTGGCCCCCAATTTGAAGCTACACCAAGTTCTTAAATAAAATTATAGTTAACTATGACTATTAGTCCTATGAAGAAACAACGTACACTCATTTTGAATGACTAAAAGCTACCCTAGTGCAGTAAGCATTGATACGAACACTGCCATGTATTTGTAAAAGACGATTCTGCATTAGCGAAAGGAGAATAGCAAAAGAGACATTGTGATTTAGGCATGAAAGAGGTAGCTGGCTGCAATTGAGACATTCTTTCAATTTCCCGAAAATAATCTCCTCAAGCCATTAATCAAGTCCTCCATAGAATATTGATTCGACCAAGCGCTGTAGTTCTCGCCTTATTGGCAACGCTATTGTTTGTTCTGCAGTTGTTGCATAGCTGTTGGAGTCTTATCAGTCTACATATTATCGATGCTTAAGATGTGATTGGAATAATTATCAAAATATATGGTTGTAGTTTAAGTCTTAAACCTTTTTATAAGTATATCCTTGTGTATTGTTTTTAAGAACCTCTTAAGATTGAATGGAATTTTGCATTTGCTTTTCTCTTTCCATATTATATATATATATATATATATATGAGTTTTGTACCCAACTATGTATATATATATATAGGAATTGCTTAAGGGGAGGGATCCCCATTTTTTCAAAAAAATGGGGGCACGCTTTTCACCGTTGGATTTAACTTTAATGAAATTGTGTGGTTGAGATTATGTGGCTTGTGTTTTAATCTCCACCACACAATTTCATTAAAGTCAATCTAACGGTGGGGAGCGTGTCCCCATTTTTTTGAAAAAATGGGAATCCCTCCCCTTAAGCAACCTGTATATATATATATATATATGAGTTTTTGTACCCAACTATGTTAATTATTACATGTTATCTATGTTACACCCAATCAAGGAGAAAAATAAAGGATATTCAACTGCAATAAGGTGTCCATGGTTTCAGCATACCAAGTGCAGCTACAAAATCAAACAAACCATCATTCCCTTTAAATAATATTTCTTCATAATTTTAATTAAAGGGTGTTTCTCTTGTGGTGACACACCTCGACCAGGAATGTCCACCTAGACTCTGAATCGAGCTATGTTGGTCGACATTAGGAGGGTGACAAAGCCATCATTATAGTGATGTAAAAAATGTGAATAAATTTAAACCTAAAAGTGCCTAAGTATAAGAGTGCACATGTGAGAGAGAACGAACCCATTTCACACGTGATGTCAGAGCATATTGCATGTGCCGAGTTAAGTCATCGGAGAGTTGGCAGGAAATGTCGTCGGCGTCGCCGTGTACATCGGCGGAGCACAGTACCTCCGAGGAGGTGCATGTGCGCCACGCACCGATCACTGCAGCACCACATGCAGCCCACGCATCTGCAAGTACAAACGTACTCGCCATTTTCGCGAAGCATAGGTTCGCCCTGATTTCTAGCAACTTCCATAGCTAATATCTAGCTCAATTCGCCACCAAAATCGATGATTCAAAAGTCATTTTGAAGTTAGAAATGTAGCGAACAAGACTATACCTGTTTCGAGAGCCATATGTCGCCGGAGATGGTTGGAAAAATCCTCTAAAAGTGGCCCAATGGCCACGGTTCCAAGCTTCCAAAATTTCTAGGAAAATCGTCCATTCGTCCTAACAGCTTTTAAACCCTATTAAAATGCGTCCAAACCTTGAGATCGTTCACTAACAATGAAAAAGGTAAAGGAGAGAGAGGTTCCTCCTTAGGTTTCTCGATGTGTCGAATCCGAATCTACCGTCCGTTTTCTGAAATTCGACCGTTCTAAAATAGTTCATTTATTAGTCGTACTTTGTATGAAAACGAATAATTAAGTTAGTACTATGGCATGACTATATTTATATTATCTGCTCATTATTTGCTACACCAATGTTGGTACTGGCCCGTATCAGGGCCAGTCTTTCACTTGTATGTGCACATCGAATTGTACACTCACTTTGGATCCATTGTAGGTGCCAATCATGTCCTAGATTGCTATAGGCAATTAGGACTCATATGTGCTGCGCGTAGCGCCAGTTTTCACGTGATTGTAGTACTAGAGCGTATATCATTGTTACACCCAATCTTGTTCATCTCATAATATATCTGCATGAACTTGTGTGTCAGCATGTATCGATGAGCACTTGTTATGATATGTTTGCTTATGCAAGATTATGTGATTACGGATGTCATGCGTACTTACGAAATATTGTGCCATATTGAATTCTTGGGTTATTGCAAGTTACGGTAAGTATTTTCTTACTATACGTAGTTTGTATATTTTGGAAACTATACTTGTTTTACAGCGAGGGGTTATTATGTTTTCGAAAAAGTTTTTATAAAACTTTATTTTTAGGCTCACTCACCCTTGTTTTTCACCCCTCCAGGTTTTAGCGGCTGAACTTCTGTATCGACGAGGATTCTTGGCAAATCTTGGTATAGGTGGTTACCTTCGACGGTATAATTCTCATCCTACCTTATTGTACTTTACTTATGCTCTGACACCACGTGTGAAATGGGTTCTTCCCACTATTGCGCACTCTCTTTATTAGCTTAAATAAATGTTAACTTTGGTTTAAATTTATTCATATTTTATGCATCACCTTCCTTTTGGCTATGTCACTGTTGGGTGTCGGCTAGCATGCCTCGACTCCGGTTGGGGTGTGTCATGTGGATAATATCCCGATATTTCCATCGAAATTTTCGTATTTTTGAACTACCGATATTTCCGATATCATTGATATTTTAGACCTTGATAGGAACTCTATGTGGTACTAAGTCACTCATGTATCTTACCATGCAATGTATAAAGTGTAAAATATTGTACTAATTCATTATATATAAATGATTATGGTGTGTTTAAACTTCTTTCATTAATTACTACATATTTTCTACACTCATAATGTTTGCCAGCTCGTTATATAATCAACTTAAACCAGTTAAATCCATCATGTAATGCATTTCCTTCCAATTTTTTTTGTGATAAACTAATAGATAATTGACTAAATAAACATCTTGCAAAGTTTCAATAAAATTTCCAAGTTTTTCTTACAATTTCCGTGGTTTTTATTCAATTTTTATCGATATCGATAATATCCCGATATTTCCATCGAAATTTCTGTGTTTTTGGACTACCGATATTTTCGATATTATCGATATTTTAGACCTTGGTGGTGACCATATAAGAAATTTACTTTTCTTTATGTCTGTGTAAATTATCTCCAAATTAAATTATTGGTCCTTAGAAAATACACATTCAACACCCCTGTAATTGTGTAATTTGATGCTTGGTAAATAAAATCTCACTATCATTTCTTGTCCAAAATAATAAATATTGTGTGCAATTCAATTCAGGCGGTTTCTGGTTATAATGAAAACGAAGTGGTAGATTGTCTTATTTAGATAGGACCTTATTCATCAGATCATTACTGTGAAACCCTGTCCCAAATTTAGTGTATTTTTATATTAACGGATTCATGAAATTACCTTTTCACCCTTAAGTTGACTTTGTTTGACCGTCTCAACATAATGCGTATGATTAATTTTCTTAGTTTATTCTTATTGTACTCATCGACACGAACGCGTTGGCGCGAACAAATTCGAATTTGGAGTTATAATGAAGATTTTATGTTTTTGAAACCTCAAACGTTTTTTGAGTATTCCACATTTCGTCTCTAGTGATCTTAAATTGTGAGCCATTGGGACCCACCTTGTTTCCTCGCCTTTTCTCCTTTGTCCCGTGCATTCCCCCACTACCCTTTCTTTCTTTATTTTCTGAAAAGTTTCTCTCTCTCTCTCTCTAAGCTCTCTCTCGGCTCTCTCTATCTTAGCCCTCCCCGAGGGCACGACATACACACAACAACAAACAGGCAGGCCGCAACGTGAATCAAGACACAATAATGCCTTAAACGTAAAGAATGCTTCCTCTGTGGATGTAGATTCAGAATTACCTCAGATTAACTGTATTCGATTAGCCCCTGACGAATACTATAACAATGAAAGAACACGCGGAATAACATATCCAACAAGTGCCCTCGAAGCACTAAGCAAACAGAAAGAATTAAAACAGAAGCAAAGCAAGGTGAGTGAAAGAACCCAAAACTGCAGCACGGAGAATGTGAATAATGATTCTTTGTAGAGGCTATTTCCACAACTTAATTTGGTTTATTTTTGCAGGCGTAAGAAGCTGCAGAGCGTCGAGCTGCTGTTGATTTTCCCCTGAAGAAGACCTCTATAACAAAGTCTAACAAAGAAGCAGAGGTGGCTCAAGGCAATAATGCAGAAAAGGGTCTGAAGCAGACGCAGAACGTAACAACCGCCGGCAATTGGAAGGACTGTTTCATTTCATGGGAGACATCCCGTCCATTAACAAGTCCCCCATCGGTGTACTTTTTCAACATGGTTGTAGTTTTAGGCTTCTGCGTTTTAGTTTTACGGGCAGTGGTGCTAGAGGGGTTCATTCACCAGAAAAATGGTTAGTTTTTGTTGTCTGTCACACAATGAGTAATGCCATACTTACCGGTTACTTATTGCTGCTCTAAAATGTGGGAGTACCAGCCACGGTTTGCAGTGATGAAGTGTTTATATTGGACTTGATTCTCTGCCCTCCCATTTCGGTGCCCTCCCCGTGCCCTCCTGTTTTGTGTGGTCACGATTAATCCATGCTAAAATTTTATATTGTTTTTTATAAAAATAATAAGACAAAAAAAAAATAGTAATATAAAATATTGACGTGGCTTAACCGTGACCACACAAACAGGAGGGCACGGGAAAGGCACCGAATTGAGAGGGCAGGGATTTGAACTTTTTTCTGTTTCTGCGGACCAGATGTAATGATGATGGCTAGTCCTGGAAGCTCAATATAATATATTGTTTTTTACTTAATCATTTAGAGAGCAGGGATTTGAACTTTTGGGATATCTTCTTAAAATTGTGAAATAGAAGCACTACTAGACCACGGTGTTGTTCGTGTTGTTAGAAGTTGCAATGTTTTTTGTTTTTATATAATTGCAAAAGAATCATTTGGGGAGCGAGGATTTGAACTAGTGGGATATCTTTTAAAATTGTGGAAGTTGAAATGTTTTTTCGTTTTAATATAATTTCAAAAGAGTCACTCAGTACTACAGTCAGATGGTATTCCTCTTCACTTGTAAGTGAGAAGTCTTAGATTTGAATTTTGTGGATTGCGAATTCAATACCAAATTAGGTTGCCCATTATGTGACTTAGCCAAACTCTCCCCCCCTTTAATGTAAATTATATCGTTGTACTAAAATATATATATATATATTATAATTTCAAAAGAAATCATTGGGGGAGCGGGGATTTGAAATTTTAGGATCTTCTAAAATTGTGAAAGAGAAATATATTAGACCATGATGTCGTTGGTATTGTTAGAAGTTGAAAGTTAAACTTGCAAAAACAAAAGGATAAAAGGGTAATGGGGTGAGGATAACTCAGAAGCTATGAGACCTACGCGCTAGCCAACTGCGCCACCACCCCGAGTTGTTCAAGGTGTGTGTTTGTTTTTTAAAACTAGATACAAAA